GGGGAGGCCCCAAAAAAGAGGGAGGGACGTCCGTCACTCTAGTTAAAAGCCTGGCGGAAGAGCTCCGTCTTGCAGGCCCTGAGAAACTATAAAAGGTCCCACAGGGCCCTGATCTCGTATGGGAGCTCATTCCACCAGGCAGGGGCCAGGGCTGAGAAGGCCCCGGCCTTGTCGAGACCAGACGGACGTCCCCGGGGGTGGACCACCAGAAGGTGTTGATTGGCAGATCGTCAAACCCTTTGGGGCTCATAGAGGGAGTAAAGTATTTGCAGTGCCAGCATCAGCATTACCTGGGTGGAGCAGCTGTCAGGACCCGGGGTTTCGGGGGTGGGGGGCAGTGTTCCCTCTAAGCTGAGTTAGTGTGAGCTGGCTCACAGTTTTTTAGCCTCCGGCTCACACATTTTTGTCTTAGCTCAGACAGGATGCCTCCAGAACTAACTAATGTGTGCAGCAGACAAATCTCTCACTCACAACTTTAATGCCAGTAGCTCACAAAGTAGAATTTTTGCTCACAAGACTCCACAGCTTAGAGGGAGCATTGGTGGGGGGTTGCCCGTGACCCCTCCCCCAACTGCTCCTCCCCAGTCTGCTCACATCTGAGTGCTCTGCCAGCCACACACTGTCCACTACAGTTAGAGGAAGGGCAGGCGGGGAGGTATGGGCACGCCAAGTGGGAGGGCTTGCAAATGGGTGGGGCAGAGTATGCATGGGAAAGGGGGTCAGGATCTACAGCACGCAGGTCCAAACATACTCTTCAGGAAAAGTGATGCTTTACTGGAATACTGTTCTGTTGCCAAGTAGTACAGCTACATTGTCAGGGATAATGATTAGTCCAAGGGACTCAATACATATACTCTGATGCCTCATCTAGCTAAGCAAATGAAATCCAAGCACATGCGTGGGAGTTCTCCCGGCGGGACATTACATCATAAACGGGAGACTCGCCCCACCCCCCTGAGGGCAGAAATATTCACACCGATAGTGGAATTCAAGCCCTCCCTTCTCTTCAAGGTTACACTGATAGCGCTGTCTGGCTGAGCCAGTTCGCACGGGCAAAAGAGCGCCTCCCTTATGTTACCCATAGTAGCTAAGCAAAGCAAGCATGCGTGCATGTGCTAAGGTCGGGGCCGAAGGAAAACAGAGAAAGCATGGCAGCTGGCTGACAGGGGGACATGCAAGGGGGTCTTGTGGGAGGGGAGCACGACTGGGGGACCTAGTGTTGGGAAGAGGAAGGAGGGGCCACAGGACGCAGAATCACAGAGTCATAGAATCTCAGAGTTGGAAAAGGCCACACAGACCATCTAGTCCAACCTCCTGCTCAACACAGGATCAGCCTAGAGCAGAGGTGTCGAACTCATTTGCTACAAGGGCCGGAGTTGACATAAACGTCACTTTGTCGGGCCGAGTCGTGTGTGTCATAAAACGTAATGCCAGGTATCGGAGATATCAACTGTATATAAAGGACAGCAGCTCGTAAGCTCCAAGTTGGTGCATTCTTACTGCAGGACCGCATGGGCTGGGAGGTGGGGTGCAGAGGAAACCCCACATGGGCGGACCGGAGAGGCAGCCGTGCAGCACTGGGCAGATGCTCCCACGCTGCTTGACTGCTCCGGACGAGGTTGTTCTGCCATGCTGAAGCCACAATCAGAGTGACTCCACCCACTTTCCTCCCCAAGCAGTCTGTGAGCAACATAAGAGCCCTGGATGGGCCGGTTCCAGCTCCCGGGCCTTATGTTTGACACCCCTGGCCTAGAGCATCCCTGACGTGTTTGTCCAGCTGCTCCTTGAAGACTGCCAGTGAGGGGAAGCTCACCACCTCCCCGGCCAGAGGAACGGCTCCCTGCCCTCCTCTAAGCGACAGCCCTTCAAAGACTTCAAGAGTGCCATCCTGCCCCCCTCAACCTCCACTTCTCCATACTAAACATTCCCAAGTCCCTCAGCCTTTCCTCGTAAGGCTTGGCCTCCAGGCCCCTGATCATCCTCGTCGCTCTCCTCCGCACCCGCTCCATTCTGTCCACAACCTTTTTGAAGTGAGGCCTCCAGAACGGCACACAATCCTCCAGGTGCGGCCTGACCAATGTAGGAGAAGGGGGGGCACGCAAGTGGGTGAGTGGGGAAAAGAGGCACGACCAGGGAGCCTACTGTTGGGAAGAGGAGGGGAGGGGGCCCTGGACATGCTCTGCCTGAAGACCCCCCTCCCCCCCATAAAAAACCCTGGAACTGACCCCAGGTCTACGAGCCAAGTTGTGTTACAGAATCCTCATGGCTGCCTCAAAGATACATCAGATACACAATGGGAGTTTTGAACCTTCCAGACAAGTACGGGCACAGAGCTGATTGTGATTGTGCTGCACATGAAGAAGGGGCTTCAGCTACATGCCAAACTTCTTCAGGAGGTTGCTTTTATAGGGGAGATTAGGACCATAGTCCCTTACATTGCTTAGAGAGCCAGTTTGGTGTAGTGGTTAAGTGCGCGGACTCTAATCTGGGAGAACCGGGTTGGATTCCCCACTCCTCCACTTGCACCTGCTGATGTGACCTTGGGTCAGTCACAGGTTCTAGCACAGCTGTCCTTGAAAAAGAGCAGTTTCTGTCAGAGTTCTCTCAGCCCCACCCACCTCACAGGGTGTCTGTTGTGGGGAGGGGAAGGGAAAGGAGTTTGTAAGCCGCTCTGAGACTCCAAGTGAAGGGCAGGGTATAAATCCAATCTCTTCTCTTCTTCTCTCTTCTTCTTATTGCAGCAAAAGTGGGCCGCAAAACCTCTGAAAGTGGGTCATGGGCCGACCCTCTGTAATGGCTGCCCCTGCCCTTTCCGTTGCTCTCTTCTCGATTTTAGAAAACAAGATCTGACCCTGGAAACAGTAGCTTCCAAATCATACATTAACTGATATTTGTGTCTTCACTGCATATGCATGTTGGGCAAGTAAAACATGTCCTGATGGTTACCAGAGTGAGTATCTTAGAATCTTAAGGGGGGGAGGGGGATTAGAGGGAGGAATAGAGAAAGAGAGGGTGGTCAAAGGCCAGGATGTATCCTCTATGGGCAAAAGCTGTGCATGTCAGAATGCCGCCTGCTTGGGGTTCACAGTGAGGGCTGCGCTGCCCTTTGTGTGACGGCTGCCGGTGTCTCAAAAACATCTGGTCAGCTATTGTGGAGAATGGAATGCTGAAAGAGATGGATACCCAGGTCACAGTTTACCTAGGGTGCCAAAAGACCTTGGACCAGCCCTGGATGGGACACCATACCAAGCAAATTTGGATTTCTGAGTCACCATTCCGAAAAAGCTGGGAACTGCTGGCTTACTGTATATATCATTTCGCTTTTACTGCATTGCCTTCTACTTCTGTAACCTATCTTCTGTATTATGGTGTGTTATATGGTGACTGCCACCATGAAATCAAAAGACGCCTGCTCCTTGGGAGGAAAGCGATGGCAAACCTAGACAGCATAATAAAAAGTAGAGACATCACCCTGCCGACAAAGCTCCGTCTTGCAGGCCCTGCGGAACTGCACAAGGTCCCGCAGGGCCCTGATCTCCTCCTGGACCTCTTTCCACCAGGTAGGAGCCGCCACAGAAAAGGACCTGGCCCTTGTTGTCACCAGCTTGGCCTCCCTAGGGCCTGGGGTCACCAGCTGGTGTTGCGACCCCGACCGAAGTGCTCTTTGGGGAATATATGGGAATGCTGAAAGAGATGGATGCCCAGGTCACAGTTTACCAAGGGTGCCAAAAGACCTTGGACCAGCCCTGGATGGGACACCATACCAAGCAAATTTGGATTTGTGGGTCACCATACTGATATGGCTGGGAACTGCTGGCTTACTGTATATATCATTTCGCTTTTACTGCATTGCCTTCTACTTCTGTAACCTATCTTCTGTATTATGGTATGTTATACGGTGACTGCAGCCATGAAATCAAAAGACGCCTGCTCCTTGGGAGGAAAGCGATGGCAAACCTAGACAGCATAATAAAAAGTAGAGACATCACCCTGCCGACAAAAGTCCGCATGGTCAAAGCAATGGTATTCCCAGTAGTACTGTATGGCTGCAAGAGTTGGACCGTAAGGAAGACCGAGCGCCAAAGAATAGATGCTTTTGAATTATGGTGCTGGAGAAGACTCTTGAGAGTCCCTTGGACTGCAAGGAGATCAAATCCGTCAATCCTAAAAGAATCAACCCTGACTGTTCCCTGGAAGGCCAGATACTGAAGCTGAAGCTCAGATATTTTGGCCATCCAATGAGAAGGGAGCACTCACTGGAGAAGACCCTGATGCTGGGAAAGATTGAAGGTCAAAGAAGAAGGGGGTGGCAAAGGATGAGATGGTTAGATAGTGTCATCAATGCAACGAACATGAAATTAAGCAAACTCCGGAGCACGATGGAAGACAGGAGGGCCTGGCATGATGTGGTCCATGGGGTCGCGAAGAGTCCGACTTGGCTGTGCGACTGAACAACAAAAATGTTATGCCTTTAGACAGGTTTTTTTCTTTCAGCATACGTATGTGCTTATCTGCATGGTTTCTGACTTCTTTCATCCTTGTCCAATCACACTGTTTGCTGGTGTTTGACTGAAGTGTTTTATACTTACATACATTATACACACACATACACACACTGTAATCTGTCGTGCGTCCGAGCAATAAAAGCAAGCCATAAATGAAATGAAATAAATTCTTGAAACCATCCCAGAGAGCTGCTATTTACTCTGTTGTAAACATTACATAAAGAAAGAATTAGATAAGAAGCAAACGTGAAATATCTCGACATTTGGTCTGAAATTTCCAATTTCTTTGGCTATGAACACGTCATCTTTTTTGTCTCAAGACTGTGTCATTTTTAAATTAGTTTTCTGCCGCGCTTCTGGCTTCCACTAAATATTTTACGGTCTTCTGTTCAATGCCATTTTGCCTTATCGCTTGGTAACTTTTTCTTAATCCTCTAAATGTGGGGGGGGGGACAAAATTATTTTAATTGACAAAAAATAGCATCTGTCACTTACCAGAATGTAGAGGGCACCTTCGGAACTCTTCTCATACTCCGCAATAGTTGAAAAGACAGAAAGCACCAGGCAGGAGAAAACCAGCAGAAAACTGGAAGGCATTTATTGAAAGAAAAGGGGAAAAAAACAAACCAGTATTAACACTGCATCTGACAACAGATATTTCGAGCCAGCAGACAGGGTTACCCAGACAAAGTTCTTTCCCGCATCTGCTGTCAGGGATCCCCTATTAGATGGTGCTCATGTTGGTCTGATCCAGGGCTATTTTTGGGCAGGAACGCACAGGAACGGAGTTCCGGCTGGCTCCCGAGTTGGCCACGCCCAGCAGGAACTCATTAGCATAACAGGCCACACCTAACAGCAGAAACTCATTAGGATTGGCTACATTAGGGGTGTGTGGCCTAACATGCAAAGGAGTTCCTGCAACCAAAAAAGGCCCTAGGTTTTGACAACAAACAAGGTAAACAGAATAAGAAGCAAAAGGTGGGTGTGGCTGGATGACCACACTTCTGGTAACATGGGGGTGCGGCCTAATGTGCTAATGAGCTGTGCTGTCGGGGGTGTGGCCCAATATGCTAATGAGTTCCTGCTGTTGGGTGTGGCCTATTATGCTAATGAGTTCCTGCTGGGCTTTTTCTACAAAAAGAGCCCTGGTCTGATCCCTTCCTATTAGTGCAGATTGGACAGCAAGGGTTAGGTTGGGAAATCAACACGGTAGCATTCTGGAGGGTTTGAAAGAGAAATTACAAAACCCTTTCAAGACGGGGCCTGGAGCAAAAATTCTAGTGGCACAATACTGGAAACAGGAGGAATGATCAAGTAGGGAGGAATGGTTTCGTGAAATATCGGTATATTATGTACACAGAAAAAATAACAACATATAGACAAATTTGGGATGGTAAGCAATCTGCCCAAGACAAAATGGCATCCATTTTAGTCTATTATAATAAAGTCAAACCTGATGAATAGGTAACTAAGGGGAAAAAATCTGTCTTACATTTAGAATATATTATGTACAGTATTGTATTTATAGTGTGTTATGCACAAAAAATAAAGCTGTATATTTGGGGTAGTGGACTCTAATCTGGAGTACTGGGTTTGATTCCCCACTCCTCCACATGAAGCCAGCTGGGTGACCTTGGGCCAGTCACAGTTTTCTCAGAGATGTTCTCTCAAGAGCAGTTCTCTCAGAGCTCTCTCAGCCCCACGTGCCCCACAGGGTGTCTGTTGTGGGGAGAGGAAGGGAAGGTGACTGAAAACCACTCTGAGACTCTGAATATTACTACGACTACTGCTACTAATATTATTATTATTTATTCCCCCTCCTCCTCCTTCAACATGGTCCCATGTGTGGATAATTAAATTTGCAGACAGCAGCCATGAACAGACAGGACGGATCTTTCTACAAACCTGAGAGAACCCCAGGTTTGCAGAAAAATCTGAACTCCAGAAATAAATAGAATCAGTGCCTGTAGCTTTAAGGACTAAATGCCCTCAGTGGCCATTGCTAGGCAACCACAACAGTACTGTCAGCCTTCAAGCTTTCAACAGTTTGCTATCAGCCACTCCATGAAAGCCACTGTGTGTAGTGGTTAGTGTCAGACTAGGATCTGGGAGACTCAAGTTCACTCTGCCATGGGAATTTGCTTGGTGATCTTGGGCAATTTATTTATTTTTATTTATTTATTTATTTTTCACATGTATACCCCGCCCTCCCCGATGGGCTCAGGGCGGCTTACAGAGGCAAGGCAGAACCTTGCCATAATAAAACATCTTATGCATAATAATATAAAACATATAATACATCTTAAAATATCCTCAATTAAAAACATGGCGCTCAATACTTCCATCAATCCAAAGATGGCAGATCATAGGTCCGAAGTTCCGAATAGTACTTCCCACAGCTTAGGGCTTCTTCAATATTCAGATGTTCCTCAGGGCGGTGGTGGTATAGTAGGGGCGACGGCTCCTACTCAAAAGCCTGGCGGAAGAGCTCCGTCTTGCAGGCCCTGTGGAACTGCATAAGGTCCCGCAGGGCCCGGATCTCCCCTGGGAGCTCATTCCACCAGGTAGGAGCCGCCACCGAAAAAGCCCTGGCCCTAGTAGCAGTTAATTTGATGTCCTTGGGGCCCGGGATAGTTAACAAATTTTGGGCCCCCGACCGTAGTGCTCTTGGGGGAACATATGGGGAAAGGCGGTCCCTCAGCCTAATCTACCTCACACAGTTGTTGTGAGGATAAAATGAAGACAGGGAGATTGATGTGAGCCTCTTTGAGTCCCCACTGTAGAGAAAGGTGGGGTATAAATGAATAATAAAGATAGCTGAACAGGAGAGACAGGTAAAATATAAGATTGGTTTGTGGTGGTGAAGAGAGAAGAAAACAAGAAATGGTGAAGACACGGGGGCTCCTAGGAGCAGGGCAAGGGGAAATAATGTGAGGAAAGGGATACAGAGAAAAGGGAAGTACCACTGCAAGTCCTTCTGGGTTCCCCAACATGAAACTGGGCCCGGCAGCCACCACTGCAGAACTGGGCCCAGTTTTCATGGTGAGAAGTTGCCAGGGAAAGGGAAGGAGGGAAAGCAGAAGACAGGTGGATAAAGGTAGGGTTGTCGGTGGGAAGGAGAGAAAGAAGCAGAGAGAAAGAAACAGAGGAAACAGTGGGGAAAGGGACAAAAAGATGCTCCCTGCAGCTCCTAATAAGTCCCCTGCTTATAATATTTTTAAAGATGGGGTTTAGAGAAGATATAATTACTACTCTCCTGTGATGCCACGAGACATCCAGCGATCTGACTACTCTACTGAGAGGCGATCCATTTGGTTTGCCAGAAAACAACTTGGCAAGGCGGCTGAAATCGGCAGTCAGCAAGGACAGTGGGTCAAGCAAAGCAAGCCAAAATAAATTAAATTTACTAATTATGGCAGTGCAGCTGCAAGAGTCAAGCCAGCCCAGAAATAAAACTAAAAAAATATATATCACATTTTGTAGAAAAGAAAGGAGAGCATTAAATAATTCATTCCTCTGGCTTTGCTCATATACTGCTGCAGCTTTAGCATGGAATATTTATAAGGCTCTGTGCGTCTGGCACCTGCCTTGGCATTTTCTACAAAGATACTGTTGTTTCGTCTGCAAAAAATAAAATGGTCGATGACACCTATCTTTCACCGCAAACAGGCCATATACAAATGACAGGGAACATGGAAGCTACTATTTGGACTACAAGATGCCTCAGCAAAATTGCAACCCTTTCAGAAGCATGGTGGTTTCAAAAACTCAACGAATGTTCTTTTCGTGAACCACACACCTTCAGATTCCTTTAGTCCTCCAGTGGTTTGGAGATCAAAGTTCGCCCCCAAAGGATTAGGGCTGCCAGGTTGCTGCTGTGGGGGTCAAGCTCTCATCCTTCATCCTACAGTCCCATTTCCAGCCAAAATCCCAGAAGTGATATCACTGTGCTATGCTTTGCATTGTTCTAGGAATCCCCTCACTATGGTAAAAACCATAGTGATAGACAGAATTCCTAGAGCATCACACGACCCAGTGACATCACTTCCAGCTCTACGCACGGAAATGACATCACAGGGCAACGTGATGCCATTCCACCTGTCTCCAAAGGCTGACAAATATGTTAAACTGCCCCCGCCCACTATGAGCCATTCCATGTGTTACCTTATAACAATCACTCCCTTCCCACATGAGTGTTTTAGGGCTTTATTAAATTAGCACTGGGGTCAATTAAACCCCAGCTAAAGCAAATGGGAAGAAATGAAACAAATGGGAGATATGGGGGGTAGAGTTGCCAGGCCTCCCCTACGGCAGGCAATCTCTCACCAGCAACCTACTCTTCCTGCCACCGCT